ATAAGTCACTTGCACCAATTCTTATAGAAGCCAGCGATGAACAACATCTGACCCCATCCCCCACCTGCCCAGTGTTATTTCAGCCCTTGGAGATAATACGGAGAGTGTAATTGTGTTGTTAATTGGATTCTTCAAGTTATATTTTTTCCCCCCTGATGGATTGAAACACAGAAATTGTTGGCTAAGTCGCTAAAAAGGAGAGTGTGGTTACAAAAAAAAAAAATCAGTGAATAATCAGAAAGCAGAAGAGTGCATAGAGGAGGAGAAAGACAAAGTGGAAGCAGTTAAGACAAGAGGGGAGAATAGATGTGGAGAGGGGACAGGGCATGAAACTAGGAGTGGAGGGAGTGAATTCATGCCAAGAATAGATAACCTTGATGTTAAAAGCTACATCCGTTGGATGTGTCTTTCTGTGACATATTGATGGCCCTTGAAAAGAGTCAAGCTGATTGTATGCAGGGAACAATCATTAAACCTACTCCATCTCCCTCCCCTCTCTGACTCCCTCTGTCTTCTTCTTATAAGTGTGCGCTGATGAAATGCTACAAGACCCACACATGCTATGAGCTAAAAAATTTGTCCAAGTCCTTATTTCTTACACAAACTATGTCTCTTACACGATCTGCCTTCTTCCATCTGCTATGTCTACTACCTCTCTGTTAATACTATTACTAATATTATTTTACATCAGATTTCGTTCCACATTTAGCAGTTTCTCTTGATGTCTCTTGTTAGGTCATAGCATCTTTAACAGGTGAGGAGTTAATGTAGGAAAATTGCTGGAGATTAGCCCACTTTTCAGGCATTACCAACAGAAGACAATGACTGTTCAGGTATAATCTAAAACCACACTTCAGATTGATGCATTTTATTATTTGCTGTACAATCACATTTCATGTATTACCACTATCTTGCCAAGTTAATACTCTTAGGCGGTGCCGCTTCGGTATTACAGTTTAATAATTACAGCATAAATCTCAAACAAAGGAGTAGCTAATCCTCTCCTAAATATCCACATAAAAAAAGAATGACATTCATCTCTGCAGGTTTTTTCCAGAAAATTATCTGAAAGAAACATAAAAACATACTCTGAACTACAAAGAACAATGAAACTTGATTAGGAATACATTATTGTCTTTCTATTAAAATGTTTATTGATGACTTTTATGTTGTGTTAATCTTATGCAGCAAAACAATAAAACACCCTTGATTACTTTGTCAGTTTTGTCTGCTGGGATTGCTTTACCCCTTTGGTTATACTGTACTTTATTATTACTAAGAAATTCTGTGTTCAACAGCAACTGTTGATGCTGTATGTGTTGATTTGCTGTTAGAGCACTGTAAACATGACGCTTGCACAGTTAGCTTACTCACACTGTGGGAGAATGGCCCATCAAGCCCCTGTGGGGAGGACACATGCTTTGGGTAATCAGCTCGCAAAAGACCAGACTTTTCTGACGATGAACCCACACTGCAGCAATCACCAAGCAGGAGATGCAAAAAACCAATTGTGCAGGCTTTTAATAAAGACAAGAGGGTTTGCGTCTAACTTGGGGCTGTGTGACATACAGTATGTAGTACAAAGGGCTGACTGTTGCTCCACCAGGGCATGATGGAAACGTTAGCCTCCCCGTCACTTTGTTAATCTGTCACTTTAATGGCTGCTCCCACCGTTCTCCCCGTGTGCTCGAGATGAAAGGGGGTATGAGTTTGTGATAATGTGTACATGGTTGAGAGTGTGGGTGTTGATTCGAGTGTGCTCATCCATGTCTCAGGGTACACATATATTGTACACTAGCACGTTTGGCACTGTAATACTTGTTATTAAGTATCAGTTCATCAGGCAGAGCCCCACCGGCGTGACTGTGGCCTCAGAGGGCATTATGTAAGACCAAGTTTGGCTTAGTTATACCCTTTCCTGTCTCCAGCCACCCCATCTTTCTCCTGGTTTCTCTTGTAATAAGAGCAAACACTTGCTGTGAAGGGAATGCAGCGAACTGGAATGTGTTTATGCACCAAACACACCGCTTAATGTAGTGCTGAAATGTAGAGCTTTCAACGTTCATGCACTTTTTCACCCACTGGGAGACGGACCTCTTGCCTGTTCTTTGTTCTTCCCTTTTTTCCTTAATTTAAACTCCCACTTCTCCTATGATCGCACACAAGTGTATATATTAGCGCTGTTGTGGAGTTACAGGTCACACATTTTCCAGCGCTTTCTGATTGGTACTGGAGAATCACAGAATGTGATCCCTCCAATCCGTCTCAGTCCCCACAGGCTAGTGACGAGCTCAGCGGAGTGTGAAGGTTCGAGGGGCCTTTGGCTTTAGTTCCTTCATCTGTGAAGGTTATCTCTGAAAGGCTTTGGTTGCAACCTACAAATATATCCCCTCTAGGTAAGCTCTTATTGGGAGCCTTGGTTCTGGTACCGCAGTGGGTAATTTCTCCCCATCGCCCTACTCCTGGAGAGCGTGAGCTATCTCGCTGGGTAAGCTGTGAATATGTGAAAGGCCCCGGTACCCATGTGATCAGAGCACTGTGAGACACCCCGATTCCAGTGGTGTCAAGCCCACTCTCCAGCCGCGGCACCTATATCCCCAGGCAAATCACGGCAGCTGGAATTCATCCCCCCCGCCCCAGCCTCCTGACTGTCAGAGAAGCACATGCACACACACGTACAAACACACGTGTGTATGTACCCCCCGTACACCGGGGGAGCAGGCAGGCACGGAGCTGGTCCTGGATTTTATCGGAGGTGACAGCTTCTCACACTTCAGTGTTTGGATCACCTCAAGTAGCTGGGCTATGAGGGGAAATGAGCACTGCTCCACTACAAAGTCCAGATTTAGATTGACTGAGCTTGTCCTCGGGCCTGTGGGCTTCTGCTGCTGCTGTACAGCTCCGCCGCCTGACAGAACACCCACTACTGCTGCCAGGGCCTGTGTGTGTGTGTGTGTGTTTGTCTCTCCGTGCTCTATATGTGTGCATATGTGTGTGTCACTCGGTAGAGCCTACTTTGAAGAGTCGGAGAGAGTGGGGGAAAGAGAGCGATGTGTCAGGTTTGGTTAGAATTGAGGGTGGCATCAGAATATGCTTGGCACTAATATGGCACCAGTATCTCTGTCCCCGTCTCTGCTTTCTGTCACTTAGTTGCCATTCTCTCCTCGCCCTTGACAATGTCTCTTTGGATTATGTGATTGGACTTACCACTTGGAGCACCCCTCATCCCTCTGCGACACTGCCTCTCCAATGAGTCTCTCCTTTTCTGCCTTGCATCTGGCCTGCCCCTCCCTCCTCCCGTAATGCACTTGATGTCTATTTAGAAAAAAAAAATGGTGAAAGCTTTATCTGTTCTCCTGTCAGACGATCATTGACAGCGCTAATGCCACTTGTCCTTGCCTCATTTGGCGAGAGGTGACACCTAGGTACAGCCCGCCACATTCATCAAGTGGCAGTGGAAGCGATGTGACATCAACGTCTGCAAACCAAATACGGAGCTCGGGGCAGCTCTCTGCATGGACAGCACCGCCTCGCAATAAAGCAAGGATAGCACTGCAGACCATCTTGGTTTCACCCTTTGATGTGGCTTTAATTTTAATACTTGGTTTTACTGATTTTCCTGATTGTTATTCCGGTAGATTACTTTTCTCTCCGTTTTTTTTTTAAATAGCTAATATCTAAATTAACTGTTTTAATAATATAGAATAGACAGATATATGTATAGGTATGTATATAAACCTCTTTGATAAAGTAATTCTGCCTATCTTCTATGAAATAATAGCACAGAAGTTCAGCTTGTTTTGACTAGTACTGTAGTTTAAGCAGTTCCATCCACAAGAACTGCTGATTAAGTATAAATATGATACCTTAATGAAAAGTAATATATGCACATAAATGCAGTAGAGATTATGAAAAGCAGGATGTCCTCTTATTTGGAAGATCCATGTAAAGAATATTTGGAAATGTTTCACATTTTATGCCAGAAAGTTTAATTTGTAATGAAAATAATCATTAAATCCTGCAGTTAATTTAGCCCATAATTAGTAAAGTAACCTTAGGATAAAGTAAATAATCTTGTGTCTGCATTGAGTTCTTTAAATACGTTCCTGTAATGCAGTAAATACACCTTCTTGATTAAACTTGCATGCTGCATCTATTGGAAGCAAATGCAAATATTCAGGTCTCTCTCTCTGAAACTGCCTCTTTCACCCTCCTGCAAGAAGCAGAGACACACACCCAGTTCAGTCCTGCCATTTAAAACTGCACGACTACAGTAAACAAAACAGTTTCGTGTACTTTCAGTGTTTCTCATTTAGAAACTCAGCCAGGCTTATTTTGTGTGTCTTTAAAGTCAAACGAATAAACTGAATTTATTACCTAGATTTTGAAGATGCCTGAACATGCCTTCAATAATATTAATACATCTGCATAGTTTCATGATATTTCAAAGTAGAATGGGAGGCAGAGCCTTCAGCTTTCAGGCCCCTTTTCTGCAGAACCAGCTCCTAGTTTGGATTCAGCAGAACCCCTGGTTCTGCCGGAGGTTTCGTCCTGTTTAAAGGGAGTTTTTCCTTCCCACTGTTGCCAAGTGCTCGTTCAGATGGGATCGTTTTCTAGTTAGGGTTTTCGTGCACCTTGAGGTGACTGCTTTGTGATTTGGTGCAATATAAATCAAATTGAATTGAATTAAATGTAATTACAAATTAACTTACAAGTTTGCTATTTCTTGGTTTCCTGTCATTCTTATAAACAAACCACATCAGAGACGTGCTCTGAGGGTCTTGCCTACAGGTTGAAAACTGCTGTTGTTAATCTGCGAATGACACTGCAAATGCACTGCAGTTATTATACTACAACCTACAAACTGCTGATTGTTTAGTTTTGACGCTAAAATGTTTACGGAAATGCAGTCCAGTTAGAAACAGTGGTTGCATTTCAATGTGAAAAGTATATACAGGTACTAAAGCAAACTGACTGAACTCTCCCCTTTCTGTTTTTAGGAGTATTCGCCAAGTGTCGCTACATCTACTATGGCAAGCACTCAGAGGGCAACAGATTCATCAGAAACGATCAGCTCTGATGGACAGCCGCTCAACCGTAGACTAAGAGACGGACATGGAAGACAGCAGATGCTAACAGAAGGACGGGAGGATCAAGTCAGTCTTATTTATTGAATCCAGTGGTGATATTTGGTTCACCTGATCTGGAAAAGAAAAGATTTAAATTCCTGGAAAAAAATGTTCCTATATAAGAGGAAGGTTTCCTTTTAAAAAAAAAAAATTCTTGTGTTTTTAAAGATCATATTGCAGCCCCATAGTTAGAGCCTCTTTTGCTTCTGCTTCCCTGCATGCAGCTCAGCCGGAAATGACACTCTGAATGACATGATTGCCTCTAAGCATTTGCAACTGCAAAACTCGAGACTCAAAACACAAACACAAGAGCACAAGCCTCTCTCTCACACACACACACTCACACACACACACACAGTCAGTGACAAACATACCCAGCCAATTGCATCCTCTTCCTTGACAGCCATGATGGATCACTTGTCCACTACCACCACTAATCAAGGGGGAAGAGGTTATGGTCACACACCTGGGGCCTGACACGGACTCATCTCTTTCACCGTGTGTATCATTCGCTCACACACACTCGCATCTTCTTTAAAACATTAAGACAAGGCTTTGACAGAACAGCGTTTCTACAGCTTCATTAAACATTGCTGTGATTTTCAGTCGACACCCAAGGCATGATCAGTGTGTCTTGTTTAGTTTGAGGCAGAATTTTTTTTTTTTTTTTTTTTTTTTGG